AGCAGGGAGCCTGATGTAAGACTCGATCCCAGGACCCTGGGATCATGACCTGAGCCAAAGGCTCAACCAACTGAGCCATCCAGGTGCCCCTCAAATTTCCCCTTTTTATAAGGACATCAGTCACATGAATTAGGGCTCACCCTAATGACTTCATTTCAACTTGATTACCTGTGTTATTTTCTATCTCTAAATAAGATCACATGCTGAGGTATTGGGGGTCAGGTTTTGGGGGGTTCACATTCAGTCTATAACAAATAGTATATCTTTTTTTGTTATAGTACAAAAACTTTTAAAGCATTTGAAGTATGGTTCTCTTACTGCTGTCATAAACCAACATAATTCAAGGCAGTAGGGTATAACGCCCTATCCCTCCCTCCAAAATTAGTAGTTAAGACATCTCTTTATCAGTGGTATCTCTATCATTGCAAATAAACCTCTGCTAATTTTTAGCAGGTCTACAGAAAATGTGGAGATGAACCTGAAGAGATGAAATGTCTCTGACACCTTCTTTCTGAAAATTGGAGTTCGGTAGCATGTGCTGATTGAAAATGGAGGGTGCTTTCAATCCTTTAGTTTATAAGGTTCTGGTGTACTAGAAGGAGCGACATTAGTTTAACAGACCAATAAATGTCTAACTATAGGTAGAAACCATTTCATTAACTGAAAAACAAATAGAATTTTGCAGATTATAAAAGATGTTTTGCAGTTTGTCTGCAAGTCAGAAATGTACAATCTCAAAGACTGGTTGGGAAGAGATGGTTTGTTTGAGTTTTGTCAACCCCAAGGATATTATTTATAAATGTCAGTATCTGTGCTTTGCCTGCATAAAGTAGATCGTCTTTTGTTCCAGTCCAAAATAATAGATGACTGAAGATCCACCAACCAGTAAGAAGGATACTATAATATGACACTTAGTGAAAATATTATAAATCACAATATGCATTTTAAGCAGCACATTCTAAGATATTTTATATGTAGAAATTGCCACATAATAAACAGACTATGGGAAAGACAACAAAAGGCTGTATCCTCAGGCGAAGGAAAGTTATGATGTAAATTATTTTACCAGAAGAGATGTGGACCTAGATTAGTCTCATTTGCGGCAATGACAATCAGTTAGGAAAAGGTAAAACTTTTGAAAATAGACATGTACATAGTCTGTATAATGACACTTCTAGTGTGTGTGTCTAGTCAGGAATTATGTGTACTTTTTTTCCTGTGGCATTCTTTCCTTCCTTCCCTTCCTCCCTCTTTTGTACTATATGCCTATATAGGCTGTTGTTTTTTGCTGTATTCATACAATTTTTTCAGGAACTATTTAATGAAATACATTACATGCTGGACACAGTGGTAGGTGCTTGGGATATAATGCTGAATAAAACAAGGCACAGTTCCTGCTTTTCTGGAGCTTACTTCTAACTGGAGGAGACTGACTTCCATAGCCACGGAAGTGTATGTGAAATTGTATCTATGCTAAGCGGTATGAGTAAGAGGCCCATGTTGCTGAGTGTCCATAAGTAAGGGATTTGATTTCTTTAGAGGAGCCAGGGAACGTATTCCTCTAGTGAAAACACTGGAAGGAGTTGTGAGTAAGCAATAACTAGGATAAGGTGAGAGGAAAGGACTTTGGACCCAGAGAGAACAACATGTGCAAAGGCCTTGGGCCAGCATGAAATCCAGCAAGTTATAGGGATGGGAGGGGAGAATGAGGAGTGTTTGAATGCCATGTGGAAGCAGGGGAAGAACTGTTTAGGGTTTCCAAAATCCTAATAATAGTAGTTTTATTTTAAAAGCATTAGGTTCTTAAGTAAGGTATTGATATGGTCATTTCAAAATATCATTACTGTGCTGTTTGGAGATACATTTGGAAAGAGGTCATCAGAATGATTTTGTAGTAGTCTGAGAGAGAGATGATAGTGGCTTGGGATGGCATGATTGTGTTGAAGTTGGAGGGAATGAGCCAATTAAGGGGGTAAAGTCAACAGCTCTTGGTAATGTGTCAAGGATGAGGTCTAGGTATCTGGTACAGGCAATTTTTCTGATGGTCTTGCCATTCAATGACACAGCAAAGGCTGAAAGAAGACATCTTTTTTGAGGAAAGAGAGGTATTGAGTTATGGATATATTACATGTGCAATATATTATGGAGGTGTTGAATTATGGATATATAATATATTATGCATATTATATATTTTGGGTATATTAGAATATATTAAGACATTCAAGAGAAACTGTCAAGTAGACAGTAGGCTATAGGGACCTGGAGGGCAGGACCAAGGTCTGTGTTGGCAGTATGAATTTGTGAACCATCATATAGATGGTACCTGGGCCAAACCATAGTTTAATTAAGCTTGTGTACTCTAGCATAAGAATGGATGAGAAGAGGCTAGAATAGCACAGGGAACAGTCTTCCAGTGTTTGACACTTTTTCCTAGATAACCAAATTGAGACCCCTCCCCCATGTAAATGGCTTATGGAAAATGAGATTGTTCTAAGGGAAGACTTCTTCAGTGCTGATAAGCACAACAGGAAGCTTTTCTTGAGCAAATATAATTGGAAGCTTTAGACAAACTCTTCCAGAAAATATAAAAGCCCTTAGCTCCCCAGCATGCCGTTTAGCAGTCTCCACTTCAAGATTGATAAAAAGTCACATATTTTAACCTGTTACCTTATATGAAGAAGAAAAAAATAGGGACAAATATCATGTCAGCATGACTTATATGTTTTTTATTTGAGGTTCTCATGGGCAGATACATACATAGATCAAAGACTGTGTAGATTTCTCAGAATCAATTATTTTTTATTTTATTTATTTAAAGAGGAAGTTTATTTCCAGAATTAAATTATGTAGCCTCTGTACTAAATCCTAATTTAAAAAAAAAGATTTTGAACATCACTAAAGCTATTTATCATTATATTCAATTTTTCTTTGGTGTCTCATCAAATAAAGTTGAAACAGAGGTATTCATGTTTCTTTGCTATTGAGGTGCTCTTCTAAATGTTTGGTTAGAGACTAATCTGAATTATTATTGTGTGAAGCCATCAGTTTGCTGTCATATTTGATATACTAATGTAGGTCAGTGACAAAACAGCACTTAAAGGTACTGGTAGCTAATAGGAATATATTGACATGAGAACCTGTCAAAAAGGCCTTTAATTAGAAATTAAGGAACATTTGATATATGTCAAAATAGCTCTGGATTTAGACCCTCAGGTCTCGATCTCAGCCCTTAATTAAAATGGAGGCATCATCTGCATAATAACATTTTTGGCTTGTATCATTCCTCCATTATTCATTTTAGTTATTGAAACTTCAGTATTGAAAATGTCATTTTATAATTGTTTAGATATGTCTTTGAAATTTTTACAAATGTTTGGGGGTTTTTTTGAGATTATGGTAGGGAAGCAAATACATGCTTTGAACTCTGAGTATTAAAATATATTTCTAAGAATGCTGATTATGTGATTAATTAGATAAAAGCCTATCTGAAATACTTCTCTGTAGATGTACCTACTTGTTATTCACTGTTTTCTTATTTTTATTTACTTAAAAATGGTTTATGATACTAAGTAATTTATCCTTGAAAAGCACCAGTTTCAGTGAAATTTTCAGCAATAATTTTCATTTATTTACTTATCAATGGGCCTCAAAAAGAGAAGTTTAGATTTGTTCACAAATTTGATCATTTCATCATGTGGATGAGTTAGTGTCATTTTTACAGATTTTTTTCATTTTATTTCATGTAAATTATTGGGAAGAAAATGTAATGATTTTACTAATCAGCAGTAATATTATTCCTTCAATGTTTGTTCCATACATGGAGATTTACGGCTGTCAAGGACTAAAACTTTGAATGCCTAGTGCTATGAGCCAGGCACTGATGTAAGCCTCAGATATACATTATCTGATATGATTTCTGCAGCAGCATGAAGTAAAAAGTTTTATCATCCCCCATTTTATGCTTGAGGAAGGTGAGACTATCCAAGATTTTATGCTAGTATTTCCAACCCAGGAAATCCAACTTCAAACCCAGTACTTTATTTATTTATTTATTTAAAAGATTTTATTTATTAATTTATTTAGAGAGAGAGAGAGAGAATGAGAGAGAGCATGCACACCCTCACATATGGGGGAGGGAGAGGGAAAGAGAGAATCTCAAGCAGACTCCAGGTACAGCCCTGAGCCCAATGCAAGGCTCGATCTCACAACCCTGAGATCATGCCCTCAGACGAAATCAATAGTCAGACACTAAACTGACTAAGCCACCCAGGTGATCCTAAACCCAGTATTTTAAATTAGCAACATTAGAAAGATTCAATTCTTTTATCACTGGAAACTGTTTTTATAAGGATTTTATTTATTTATTTGAGAGAGTGATAGAGAAAGAGAGAGAGAGAGTGAGCACAAGTGGGGGGAAGGGGCAGAGGGAGAGGGAGAAGCAGACTCCCCACTGAGCAGGGAGCCCGACATGGATCTCCATCCCAGGACCCTGAGATCATGGCCAGAGCCGAAGGCAGTCTCTTAACCAACTGAGCCACCCAGGCACCCTAGAAACTTTTTTAATTAGAGGAATACATATATACTCATTGTTCATTATTCACCAATAAGATAAAGCAGGTGTGGGAGAAAATTATTTGTGGCAAAAAGTTCCTCTTGAAAGAATATCATTTTTCTTTGCTTAAGCTTTTGACTTTTTTAGTTATTGGTTTAAGTTATGTTGATAATGTAAAACTGTAATGTTGACGTTGTGGAAGTAGGTCCCTAGGGGAGTGGGCCAGTAAAAGAGGGGGTGTAAGATGATACATGAGTGATGGTTCATTATAGGGGACCTGGAAAGGTAGACAGAGCTGGCCTGAATCATAATGAGCTTGGTCATTCATTGGATTTTTGTGTATCAGACAGACTTGGCAGGGCAAGAAGAGGGTGGGATATTTGAAGTCCTGAAATATAATTTAATAAAAGAAGACTCTAAATCAATTTTTTAAAATGGCTCTAAGTTCATGGGAACAGACATCGTGTGTCCAGACAGACATGTGTCACCATTATCCACTGAGATTAAGAGAATTAGTGCAGTTGTGGAACGGAAGCGAAGTATGTATATTTCTGAAATTTTTGAAAGCTTAAGATTTAAAAAAAATATAAGGTGGATGATAATATTTACTAATAATTGCTTATGTTTCACATTGCATGATTTAGAGAGATGTTTTTACTTTGGTTCTTATGGCACCAAGTAATTTAATAAAAATACTTTTTGCCTATCAGTATATAAATGATAATTTTCTTTCTGTATTCTGTTTTCTCCCCCTAAATTCCAAAGATATAAAGGAATGTCTAGCCTTTTAAAAATGAAGATGCAACATGGCAAAATGAAACACGACAAAATTTGTCTTTTAGGGTAAAGGTAGAAATGTAGTTAAAACTAAACTTTGAAATTTACTAAGTTTCACTGAAGATGTTTTATTTTCTTAAATGGAAATTAAAAACATACATTTTCGGGTTTTAGAGAGAACTAGAGATTGTCAAAATCACATGTGTTACACAGGTTCTGGTGTTTGCTAAACTCTCAGTCCATGAGAGTATTGTCCTAGTGAAGTCTGACTAATTCTTCCTTAGTGATAATCGCTCTTCTGCTCTGTTCAGAAAGGGACTTTGGGTGTGGGTCACTGTCACACTGATTCCTGCATTCTGGGGTCTGAAAGGCATTTTTTCTGACATGCTGAGGACCTTGTCCTTCTTGGGATTAATCACAAGCAGCGGCAGTGATTTCTCAGTGGAGAGAAACAATGGGGAATTGGCAGGCCAGATCCGAAAAATTCTCTGCCTGCCATTGCTACTCTTGGAGAAGTAAATTGAAGTTTTCATTTTTGGCATATTCTGTAGTAAATCTCATTTGTTTTCTTGATGAGCTAGACTGGAAGAAATAATGGCTGTCTCTAAATACCCAATTTGTGATTAGGGATGCAGCACAATGATGAGACTAATTTCATTTTAGTTAGTATTTGCTGTAGCTTTGTAAGTTCTTTCCAAGAAAGCTGAAAAGCTCTTTATTTCAGAGAAGGACGAGTGTATTTAGGTATACATTTCAGTTCAGAGGGGTAAAAAAAAAAAAATGATGTAATCTGTACCTGTGGCTTTAGGAGTCCTGATCTCATAAGATACGATGGTAATTCATAAGAGGCAAGGAAGATGTGGTTCAAAGAACCTTGGAGGGTTCACTGAGCGCATGATAACATGGCTTCTGACATTATTGGGAGGAAGCCATTTCACAAGTTTGATTTAGAAGGAGAAGGCCTAATCAAAGGTCTTAAGGATTAAATGCAGTCTTCTCGTGAAGTGTTATAATAGTTTCTCTGTCTCCTTCACTGTGCCCCCACACTGACTCAATGCCCATAAAGAACAGTGCCATCTACATCTGAAAGTAATGATGTACTATAAGTTGGCTAGTTGAATTTAAATTAGAAAAGAAAAAGAACAGTGCCATCAAAGCAAGAGTGTTTATCTCAGCTTTTTGTTGTTGTTGATAGTCTATGGCCTAGCCCCCAATGTTTCTGGAATAGTTATTTTTTATTTTTCTAAAATTTACTAATTAGAGACATGATTCAACCCTTAGTTGGAAACAATTTAGAATCCACCACAGGGTCCAATAGAAAACCAAGAACTTGCATATAGCAAATGACATTCCTACCCAGGAGGGGGAAAGTGCAGTTCCTCTTAATATTTACCTTCAAGTTGGGGTACCCAGCTTAGTTCACACAAATTTTCTGTGAGCAAATATAAGATTAATGAAATATGTGATGGACTTTCAAATATTCCCAAGGTGTAGGTCAACTGTATTCCCCCGAGAAATACCAGGAAGAACACCGTGAAGGGCTTGGGGTGAAAATGTCCATGAAGAGATGGTAGGACGTATATGACTGGTGGTTGACTCAGACTTGTTCCTCTCTGGCATACACATAAGAGGTTGTCAAATGTTCTATTTGAAAAAAAAAATGTCAAAAACCTTAGATTCAGTGAAATGTGTATTGTTTCCTCTATAAAACATACAAGGGTCTTTGAAGTTTTAGCCATATATTAATAGGTTATGCTTCTAGGTGAAAACAAAGAAAGGTATTTCTGATGAAATCTCAAAATGCAAATGTAGAAGCCTTCATATAATAAAATTTAAAATTTTTATACTGTTTCATTTAAGAAAAAAATAGGACACAAAAATGTCATTTTGTGGAAGATATTTTAGATTAATATTTTGCTGTTATGTGTTCAATTTTCCATAAAGTTAGTACCCTGATTGGAGAATGATATATAAGATAGTTCTTTTACACAAAAATATTATTGCTACTATTGTTTTAACATTACAATTTAAATTGCATTACTGCTTTTACTGTTTTAACATCAAAATTTAATGTATATAATTATATTATTATTGAAGGTCATTTTCTTCTCCTTCCTATTCTTTTTTTGGTGTTCTTTATGTATTTCACCATTTTCCCCACATTCCTCCCCTCTGGTACCCAAAAGTTTGTTCTCTGTATTTTAGAGTCTTTTTTGTCTCTCTTTTTTTCTTTATTCATTTGTTTTGTTTCTTAAATTCCACATATGAGTGAAATCATATGGTATTTGTCATTCTTTGACTGACATTTCACTTAGCATTCTACTCTCTAGGTCCATCCATGTTATTGCAAATGGCAAGATCTTACTTCTTTTTATGGCTGAGTAGTATTCCATTATATATCTATACCACCTCTTCTTTATCCATTTATCTTATGGATGAACACTTGGACTGCTTCCATATCTTCACTATTGTAAATGCTACAATCAACGTAAGGGTGCATATATCTTTTCAAAGTAGTGTTTTCATTTGCCTTGGGTAGGTACCCAGTAGCGGAGTCAGTGGAACATATGGTAATTTTATTTTAAATTTTTGAGGAACCTCCATATTGTCTTCCATAGTGGCTGCACCTATGTGCATTCCCATCAACAGAGCATGAGGGTTGCTTTTTCTCCACACCCTCGCCAACACATGTTATTTCTTGAGTTTTTGATTTTAACCATTCTGACAGGTGTAAGGTGATATCTCATTGTGATTTTGATTTGCATTTCCCTGATGACTGGTGATATTGAGCATCTTTTCATGTGTCTGTTGTCTTTTCATGTTTGGTGTAAAAAAGTGGCTCTGTTTCATTCTTTTACGTGTAGCTGCCCAGTTTTCCAAGTACAATTTGTTGAAGAGACTGTCTTTTCCCCATCATATATTCTTGCCTCCTTTGTCATAGATTAATTAACCATATAGACATGAGTTCATTTCTGTGCTCTTTGTTCTGTTCCATTTATCTATGTGATTCTTTTTGTGCTAAGATACTATTTAGATTAACTTTGAAGTATATCCTTGAAATCTGAAATTGTGGTAACTCCAACTTTCTTCTTCTTCTTTTCTTTTTTTAAAAGATTGATTGATTGATTGATTTTTAGAGGTGGGGGTGAGGGACAGAGGGAGAAGGAGAGAGTGAATCTCAAGCAGACTCCTGTTCAGCACAGAGCTGGACACTGGGCTTGATCCCACAACTCTATGATCATGACCTGAGCTGAAATCAAGAGTTGGACACTTAACAAACTGACCCACCCAGGAGCCCCTAACTTTATTATTCTTTCACAAGATTACTTTGGCTATGCAGAGTCTTTTGTGGTTTAATTTTAGTAGTATTTGTTTTAGTTCTATGAAAATTTTTGTTGGTATTTATAGGGATGGCATTAAATCTGTAGATTACTTTGCGTAGTATGGATAGCTTATCAATATTGACTTTTCCAATCCATGAACATGGAATATCTTTCCATTTGTTTGTGTCATCTTCAATTTCTTTCATCAGTGTTTTAAAATCTTCAGAATAAGGTCTTTCACCTCCTTGGTTAAGTTTATTCCTAGTTATTTTATTTTTTTTGGTGTATTTGTAAATGGGATTATTTTCTTAATTTCTCTTTCTGCTCCTTCGTTATTAATGAATAGAAATGCAATAGATTTCTATATATTAATTTTATATTCTGAAACTTTACTGAATTCATTTATCAGTTCTAGTAGTTTTTTTGGTATAGTCTTTAGGGTTTTCTATGTAGAGTATCATGTCTTCTGCAAATAGTGAAAGTTTTACTTCTTCTTTACTAATTTAGATGCCATTTTTTTTCCTTGTCCATTCGCTGTGGCTAGGACTTCCAGTACTGTTTTGAATAAAAGTGGTGAGAGTGAACATCCTTGTCTTGTTGCTGATCTTAGAAGAAAAGTTTTTCATTGATTTTAGCTATGGTTTTTCATAGATAGTCTTTATTATGTTGAGGTGTGTTCCCGCTAAACCTACTTTGTTGAGGGACTTTATCATGGATGAATGTTGTACTTTGTAAAAAGCTTTTTCTGCATATATTGAGATACTCCTATGGTGTTTATCCTTTCTCTTGTTGATGTGATAGGTCACGTTGATTGATTTGTGAATATTGAACCACCCTTGCATCCCTGGAATAAATCCCACTTGATCATGATGAATTTTTTTTAATATATTGTTGGATTTGGTTTGTTAATATTTTGTTGAGGAGGTTTGCATCAATGTTCATCCGAGAAATTTCATGCACATAATTACATTGTTATTGAAGATTATTTTCTTTTGATGTCAAACTTTCTTCTGTCTTAAATAGTATCTATTGCATATAAACAGATCAGTTTAAATTTTTAATTTAAACTCTGCTTTAAATTCTTGGCTAACATTAATCTAAAAAATCATATCACCATCTATTATTTAGAAAACATTAATAGCTTCTTTCTAAAACTAAAGGCTTCCAGGTTTAATTTTTTTACCTTACCTTGGGCTCTGGAGAGTCTTTCAGGGAAGTTCAATTAATTTGTAACAGTGCTGCTCAACATGTACTGAAGATACATAATATGCAAAATGTTCAAAACCTTTCATATTAAAAGTCCATCACCAAAGTCATATGAGGTAGATATGATCTTTTTAAAGATGTTATTTATTTGAGAAAGAGAGAGTTCATGCACACATGAGCGGGGGGAGGGGCAGAGGGAAAGGGTAAGAGAGAATCTCCAGCAGACTTCCCAC